CGGCCTCCCACTGTCCACACCCCACATGAGACGCGGGCGCGTTCGTCACAATGGACGGGCCTGTGTGATACGTCACTGTGACCCCAGCCACGTGGGCAGCGGGTTCAGTCTTGGGTTGTAGATGCCGTGGGTCTGACACACGTGGAGTGACAAGCATCCGCCATGACAGTGTCTTGTACGTCACCCATCCCTCCCGCCCTCCTCCCACCCCTGCAGACCCCTCACTGTCTCCATGGTTTGCTTTCGCTAGAACGGCATGTAGTTGGAATCCTGCAGCCGTAACTGTGCAGAGTGGCTTCCTGCACTTGTGCGTATTGAGGGCGCCTCCGTGTCCGCCCAGGGCTCGCTCGCTGTGCTGAGCACGGAAATGATATCCCATCGCCTGGATGGATCGCGTCCATCATCCACCCACCTGCTCAAGCACGTCCTTGTTGCTTCCGAGTTTGGGAAACTCTGAGTAACGGACCTGTTTGTCCATCGCATTGACCCTGCCTCCTCTTTGCCACCCCGCCCTGTCCTCATTCCTACAGTCCCTGGCCAGCCGTGACGTCGGATGGTGCCAGCCCCTCACCTTGGCTCTCCTCACTCAGGGTTGTGTTGACCATTCTGGCACTTTTCCCTCCAGATAAACCTCAGAATCTGTTTGTCCATAAAAAAAACTTACCGGGATGGCGTTGAGTCTTTAAATCAACATGGAGAGGACTGCCATCTTGACAGTATTGGATCTTCTCATCCACGCACGTGCACTGCCGATTTATTTAATTTTCTTTGATGAGAGTTTCGTCATTTCCTCACATAGTCATTGCACACGTTTTGTTAGATTTCTACCCGTGTTTCCTCTTTGGGGGGATCAATGAGAACGTTTCAGATGGACTCTGAACAACTTTCAAACATGCGACACGGTAAACACACCCGTATGATTTTCTAATGTCACACCCGGAAGTTTTCTTGAGTTTTGTAGAACCGTTGCTGGCAGAGCCTGGTGCCGAGCAGCCCCGCCGCTGCCACGCCTGCAGGTGCCCCGGTGGAGGGAGCATCGCGGGATCACGCTTTGCTCACTGCGGTTGAGGGGCCCGCGGGGCGCCGGGGTGGGCTCAGTTCCTGTAGATCGTGTTGTTCTCAGCCGAGAGATGAGAGGGCTGTGGCCTGTGGTCTGACGTCGCTGGGTGTTTTGATGAGAATTGAAACTGAACCCCCGATACGGTCCCGACCTCAGGGAGTCCCGGGGGGCCGCCGCCCGGAGCAGCTCTGTGTGCTGGGCTGGAGCAGCGAGAAGGGCCAGAGGCAATGGATCCGTGTTCACTGACGGGCCTCCGAGTCGGCTCAGGCCCACGGCGGTGCTGACGTGGCGGACGGAATCGCACACGTGTCTTCGGCTTCACAACCTCATGTGACGGGAATGCCCAGCGCGTGAGGTGGCATCCCGTGGCTCCCCACAAGATCCGCTGTTGCCCTCAGCCTGGCCCCGAGTCTCTGTCTGAGGCCAGGCCATTGGGCTCGCGTAGGAAGCGTGGGTTTAAACTAACACGCGGTCGTCTTTGTTTCTCCCTCTGCAACCGAACCTCCGTTTCATCGAGACGACCACTGTCTTTATTTATTTATTTCTATTTATTTTTAAATATATTTTATTGGTTTTTTACAGAGAGGAAGGGAGAGAGAGATAGAGAGTTAGAAACATCTGGCTCAGTAGGTGGGTTGGATTCCTGGTCAGGGCATATGCCAGGGTTGCAGGCTCAATTTCTAGTAGGGGGTGTGCAGGAGGCAGCTGATTGATGTTCTGCTCTCACAGTGATGTTTTTCTCTCCCTTTCTTCCCCCTCTGCTCTCACAGTGATGTTTTTCTCTCCCTTTCTTCCCCCTCCTTTCCTCTGGCTCTAAAATTCAATAAAAAATCTTTAAAAACATAAACCTTTTTGTTAGGATACTTGGG